GAGCAGGGGAAGAAGGCGTGGAAGGAAGGGGATTGCCAGTGGGTTATGCCGGGCACGATGTGGGATTGGAGGTCGGCGTGGATGGTCTGCCATGATTCCGGGTCCTCGGGGGCGGATTGCGGGAGGAGGGGGCGGAGGTAGCCTGGGGTTACCGAGGGGAGGACTTTTGGTTGGGAGGTGATTGTGTCGTAGTATTTTGTGACTGGGGGATGGTGGTTAGTGATTGAGGGCTTCGTGAGAGGGGTTGGAGGATGAGGATTGGGGTGAGGGTGTTTGGTGGTGATGAGATTCAGGAGCGTGTGATGAGAGACTTACTGTCTTCTATGGCCTCTGCGGCCGCGGTGCGGAATTCGGATGAATCCATCTTGAAGAAGGTCTACTAATCGATGTCTAAGTGCTGGTACTGATGTCCTTCGCTCAGAGCCTGGGTACGTGTATTGGAGGGCAGGACTATCCGTCTTATAGAGAATGATATCTCGAGTCTTTAATGCCACCTTTCCAGCAGTATGAGAGACGCACACATGAGATGAAGTCAATTGTGTTGTGGACGTAGTAAGTAATAGCCCGGCCAATCAAGAGCAGTTCACAAACTAGGGTCGGCTGTCCATAGACGACATGGAAGTGTGTATCTCTATCTGGTACTCCACCATGGCCCGCCCATCACATCATTGTCCGATTTCCTATTTCCCCAGTTCTTGGAAGGTGGATTCCGAATGCAGTAATGTAATAGGTCAATGGTGTCGAAAGCTGTTCGTCGTGGCGTACGGAGGACTCCACTACTCGTCAGCCAGCCGCGCGGGGCGGCTCAACGCGGGGTTTGTCGCTCGGAACACCGGCCGGAATGCCCTCGGAACGGCTCCGATTATAAGCATAATGCACCCAGCCCTGCTCAAAGGACGCCTTTTTGACAGAAAGAATGTCAAAAATGCGTTTTGGACCCTCCGCCCTAAAGTGACATGAGCGTCGCAATTGAGTTTTCTGGGTCGCTGATCCCGGCACTAAGGGTCAAGTCCGAGATCTACCTAGTATCTGGTGTACTTTGCCATGTGAGACCAACAAGAAAGCAGCCACCGAATCCATTTTGATCATGAGTTTGACTGCTTTGAAGTTCTATTTTTATTGGTCTTCTCTGGGCTATGCTCTGCCTGGATTTGGGCCCTGGAAACATTTGAAAACCACCACAAAGCTCCAATGGTTTGATAAGTCAACAACACGTGACATTTAGTAAGGACTAGGTAGTCATGGATTGCAAACCGCCAACCAACACGGCATCTACACTCATACCAAATTACTTAATCGCACTCAAACATCTTTGTAGTGCTCACATTGATTCGGCTCCAGCTCCGCCGGTTCACAACGCAGTCCCAGAACATCATGGGCCAGTAGACGTGATAGAGCCACCACGCCGGCAACGGATCCCACAGCTCAAACGTCCCGTCCTTCCAGAATAGCACGTGCTCGACAAACGTCTTCACAGACCGCCAGTACGCCGCAATCGACATTCGGAAGAGCAGTACCCTCGCCGTTGGCAGCAGCAGCAGCGTGAAGAGGTCATGTCCGATCCAGTAGTATTTGGACGGCCTCCTAGGCGTCACCACATCCGTCTCCGAACTGCCCCCAGAGGTTCCCGTCTCGTCGAGTACGCTCAGGTACTGCTCCACCATGTCCGGAGTCTCTCCAAACAACGCGACAGCCGTGTGCGCCCGCGGGTTACACTCGATCGGATACAGCTTCAGCTGCTCAGGCTTACATCCATCCCCCGCCTCCGCCGCAGCAACGTCCTCGTAGCTCACCATGAAATCGAAACTCAGGTGGCCCGTATACGCATCCCCAAACGACGCGGCCTGCTTCCGCGTAAACTCGAGCATCGCCCTCGACAGCGGCGACGAGGCCGGTAGCGCGACGTAGTGCATCAGCAGCTCCGCCGAGCGGCACGCCACAAACGCTCTCACCTCCCCGCGGACCACGAGCGCGTGCGTGCAGAACTCGTCGCCGTCAATGTACTCCTGCAACAGCCAGGGCTCCTTGTCTGACATGCCCAGCCACTCGAGGTGGTAGACGTGATCGTACGTCTGCTTCTCCGTCGGCAGCGGCAGCAGCGTCATGTCGCCGCGGCCGCGGTCGTTGACGCCCACCGACTTTGCGATGAAGCGCGGCGGCGGCTTCCTGGTGTTCTTGGCGGTGGTCTCGGACTCGGCGTCGTAGGACAGTCCCCCCGACGCTTCTTCCAGCGCGGCCAGCATCTCATGTCGGCTCGTGACGAGATATGACTCTGGCACGCGCAGGCCCGTCTCCCGCGTGTGATCCATGAAGGAATCCTTCTCGTGCAGGATCCGGGTGCGCGCGACGTCGGGTTGCACGGCGCGGCACCGCGTGCGGGCCTCGACGACCTCCTTGACGACGCCGTCCTCGACGGCGGACCCGACGCCCGAGCAGCTGACCCAGAGGTCGACCTTCTCTCGCTCCACAATCCTCAGCACCGAGTCGAGGTACGGGTCGGCGCCGCCTCCAGCTCGGCCGGGTTTCTGTAGGACGTGGTAGGCGGCGAGGGCGGTGGACCGGCTGCCGCAGGCGTGGGGGGAGAAGTCGGCGCCCACGACGCGGTGACCGGCTTGGTGGAACAGTCGGGCGAGGGTTAGGCCCTTTGTCATGCCGACGCCGGTGACGAGGATGGTGCGGCGCTGCTGCTGCTGGCGGTCCGTGGCGGCGGCGGGGTCAAAGGCCTGGCCGGGACGCAGGAAGCGCTGCCACACATAACTCAAGGCGAGGATGATCGTCGTCAAGGGGATGAAAGCGACGCTGATGACGATGAGGACTAGATCCTTGAGGATCTGGCCAAAGGGATCGGCTGAGGCGGCTTTCATGGTCGCGGTGGTGCCCGGGTTGTCCCTTTGAATGAAGTATTGCTCCACTAGATGGTGATTGGATCAGAAGGAGACGGGAGAGTGTAAGTAGGTAGGTTGCTGGGGCCGAAGATGAGACGGCGAGTTCGCTGCGTGACGCCGTCGCAGGTTTGGAAGAGCAGCAAGCAGCGTCATCCAATTGGGATGGGAAAGCCAGTTCGGTTGAACAGGTGAAGATAGGTTAGGAAGGGATGAAACTACCTTTTCGCGCTGCGTGTCCCAATCTTCGTCCCAGGATACACGGCGGGCTGAGGAATGTGGAATTGGAAAAAAAGTGTGGCAGGTACGAAGTTTCCCTCGCACAAAAATACCTACCTACACGCGTACGCGGGCATAGGTATCATGATGACCTTCTCCCCGAAGGCTCCGACGCACCGCCCACTTGGGTTGATAGAAGTATACCTTACGTCATGGACTACTGCAGCTATTGGCGCGAACGCACATAACTTTACCTACCTTAACCCCCTCGCCTCGTCGTACCTTGCCTTAGGTAAAATACGCGCCAGAGTGATGTCTCACTGCGTCGAATTATTGGCATGTCGTGTGAGTGACGGGAGCTTCAGCTCCGTCTTCCAACCGGAACGGACCGGATGGAGGGAGGGGGGGGATAAGATGTCGCAAGCTCTAAAAGCTTTGTCAAAAAATGTCAACGAGTGGGGACTTCTCTTGTCTTTTCCCTTTGGCTGAGCATACGCGCGTTGTGTATCATTCTGAAGCTGTGGCTTGAGTGTCAGCGTCGGACAGAGTTCTGGCTTTGCAGGCTGGCTGGTGCCATGTGTTTTTGGAGATGGGAGGATGCGCGGATCATTGACTGCCTCTGCAGGGATATCTGAAGTCAGAGCCCCACAGGAAGTTGGGAAGCCAAGACTTCACCCCACCTTGACATATAGTGTTTTGATACATAATACTGCTCCTCGGCATGATGAAATCAAATATGCTTATAAGCATGATCAAGTGGCATTGATCGACTGTACTGAGTAAGATACGGGTAGTCTGAGCTTCAATACCTTCCTTCAGGCAAGTTCCTTAAAAAGGTAGGACGGCAGCAGATGCCAAACGGAAAAGGATGAACTGACAAGCCACCAAGCGAAGAAGAAACGGCACATGAGCATGGATACCTTACAAACCATCCTAACATGGAGGCCGCTCATTCTTCCTGTGTCAAGCCAGGATCTCGTCCCTAATACCAAAAGAAGAAAAAAAGGCTTTGCCTGACAGGAACAAGGGGAGGAAACAACCCATGATGGTCTCCAATTTCAATTTCCCCCGCATAACAAACCACCAAAAACCAACCAACCCATCTCCCCCCCGAACGATCTCCCGCGGGCAATTTAAAGCGGAAGCGATCAGCAATGCGCCATAAATAACTTTCTTTCGCATATGGAGTACTATTACTACCTACACAACCGGCTCACAGCCCCCGAGCGAACGAGCGAACGAACCAACGGATGATCGTTCCGGGAGATCTCCTTTTTTGACTCTCGAGAGTTTTTGCATCAACCCTCAATTTAAACTCCCGCGCCGATACCACCGTGGAGACACCCCTTGGCGCTCAGTCCTTCTAGAATCTCTCCTTTGATCGATGGCGACCTAGCTCGAGGGAGTTCTCCTGTGGATCCATGGAGGGCGACCATCAGTTTTAGTGAAATCATGAGTCTCGCAGAACTGGTGATCATCAAATAGTGTATGTATACAGTGGAAGACCATGTAGTATTATCCAACACGTCTGTGCCTCAGTATCTTCGCTTGCTCCCGTGCAAGCCTAACCAAACGACTATCCAAAATGAAACTATGGTATCATTACTCATTAGAGTCATTATTAACAATAAGCAAAACCCTCCGGTGCGCCGCCCGAGCTGGTCTTGTCTTGCTCAGCTCGGGGCATCAAAGGAGTGTCCGTGTGTTCTGAGGGGTATCCCGTTCCTGATCAAGTCTAATCCGTTCGTTGCCGTTTTCCCCTGCGCCCAATTAGAAAGAAGGAGCGTGTTGCAGAGCGGCCATGTGAAGTAAAGCAAAATTTCCAACGCCTGCCCGATGATGATGATGATGTTGATCCAAAAGGTCTGAGGACAATTAATCTCTCGAAAGAAGTCCCGCTCACGCGACGGCAACGGCGGCAACAATGGAGTCGAGTGCTGAGCTGTGAGTCGGCCCGGAAACGCCTTGCGCGGGGCCCGACCAGACGACACCCATCTTGCCAGCAGAGTCGCGGTTGGCGTTCCAGTTGCTGTCGGCGTTTTTGGTGATGAAGGTCTTGAAGTCGTTGTTGGGCGCCGCTTCTTGAAGGTATCGCAGGTTGCGAACAAAGATGCCCTTGAACTGGTTGCCGTCGGAGCCGCAGTTGGGCTCGCACGTGTCGTGCAGGATGCCGTTGTCGTCGGCCAGCTGCTTGATGGCCGCCTTGGCAATGTTGGTGGCGTCTGTCAGGACCGACTTGTCGCCATTAGCCTTGCTGAGCTCGACGAGACCGCCGAGAACGACACCTTGGTTGTAAGACCACACGTTGGCGCCGTTGTTCTTGCAGTTGCCGTCCAAGCCGTCGTTGATGGTGCCCTGAGCGTTGATCATGCCGGTGGCCTTGAACCAGGTCCACTGATCAGTCGCGATCTTGAGGTAGCTGGCCTTATCGCCTGAGATGCGGTTGGCCAGCGAGGCGGCGACGCTGAGGTAGAGCTCGTTGGCGATGGCGTTGACGTACTTGCGGTCCTTGCTCCAGTAGATGCCGCCATTGCAGTTGGTATTGCCGCCGGTCTTCATATCGGCAAAGATGCGCACGGCCATGTCGAGGTAGTCTTGGTTCTGGGTAACATCGTAGGCGCGGATCAGGCCGAGCGCCCACCAGCCTTCGTCGTCATAAAACTCGTTGATGAAGTTGGGAAAGCCCTGAGCGCTCATTTGACGACCTTCGATAGGCAGCGGTACCTCGCGCTTGGTGATGGCGTACGAGGTTGTGACAAGGCCAGCGGCGTTGATAGACTTGGAAGCTGATGCTGTGGCCTTCTGAGCCTGCTGGAATGTGTTCATGAGAATGCCTCCGATGTTAAGCTCGTTAGCAGCATCCCGGTTCAGGTTGGCGAAGTCGGCGAGGGTGGTGAAGGCGTTGGCACTGTTCCACCAGGCGTTGTCCCAAAGACCAGAGCCAACATCGTACCAGGTGGATTCGAGAGTGCGAATGGCGGCAACGGCGTTATTGGTGTATGAGGCGACGTCTGCTCTCTGGGCAATAGGACGAGTGGACATGAGAAAGACTGCCCGGGCTGCGAGCCCTCCAACGTTGGCGACCATGTTGATGATTATTAAGTATAAGGAGTTGAGTAAGGAGGCGGAACAGTTCGTCTGGTCTTCTTCTCTGCTCGAGGTAGAGAAGTGAGGGGAGTAGTGGAGGAGGATATATGTATTAGTTGCAATGGCGAGGGCAAGGAGAGGCCACTTTCGGTAGAGGAGGGCCAGGATGTTAAATATATCAGGAGCGGGCGAGGATTCCGGTCCATGTGCCCCTTGTCCAGGTTTCCTCCGAACTGGTGGACCGGCACAACAGTAATGGAAGTGGTGGGAAGAAGGCGGGTACGGACAAGGCGATGAGGAGGGACGGTAATGCTGATCCTGGACGGCAATCTTGGTAGCAGGGCTCTGAGAAAGTGGAAATCTGGGGCGGAAGTGGCAGCAACAGGACTGGAAGCATGAAGATGATGGGTTGGAAGAAGCGGAGATGTCGTCAAGGTCAAGATCAGCGTCGAGGTGGGATGACGAGGAAGAGGAAGGAAAGGATACATGTAAGCAGGAGCTGGCGCAGGCGCGGCTTTTGCCAACGTCCTGATCCTGCGATGACAGCGCCATGATCCTTTTTGCGTGTGTCTTTACTCGCAGCCTGGAAACAAGCACAAAACAAAACAAGGCTTCATCTGATGTTGTGATCAGGAGCTGCCTTCTCGTCGAGCCAGCACATCGCACGCGGCTGCGCCTTGACAGGGGCCACCCGGCAAAGAAGTACGAAGATCACAGTCAGGGGTCAGACTGTGGTGGCCAGTTGGTGTATCTGGGAAGAGAAGGAGGAAGAACCAAGAGCGTGGGATGAGATGATGACCAGAGAGGCAAAGCGCGAAGAGTCGCAAGTACCAAGTAGCCGTACTCAGTAGCAAGAGGCAAAGGGCAAAAGAGCAAACTCGGAGTACAGATAGCAAAAGGGGCAAGACAAGACAAGGGCGTTTGAACAGCGGTTCCTTGAAGAGCGAGCGGGTCGGTAAGCGCTGTCGTTCATTGGGAGAGATTCGAACGGGACGAGGGTCTACCGCCAGCTCGGAGACTCTTTGAGAGTTTTGGTCGCTTGGGAGTCGTTGGAGTCTTTGGGGATGGGGAGCTTGAGAGCTGAACGTGTAAAGGTGACTGGCGGTAGATGGTGTTTCAGACAAGATTGTACGTTATGCTGTGTTGGCGGGCGGCGCGAGACCGCACCAACTGGATCTGCGGTACAAGGTACTTTGTGAGGTCCCTGGTGGTGGTTTGTCCCATCCAGGCTTGAGGTACGTACTGCACCGGACCGCTTATCGGGCGATAAGGCACTTGTGACGAACCTTGAACCCGAACCCATCGAGCCAGCGCCTGAGCTGTGAGCAGTGAGACTGTGAGACTGTCACACTCACAGCGGCGCCAAGTTCCAACGCCCAGGAACCAGAGATCGGTATCCGGGCCTTCCATTAGCCACGGGTGCTATGACCAGGGGCTTAAAGGGTGTTGCAAGCCCCATGTCCCCCTTCAGTCTTGGGTCACTTGGCTGGGACATCTGGGACTGGCCCCCGGGCAGGAGGGGATACCCTGGCATCTGCAGCCCCTAATTGGGAAAATCTGCACATCCCGCACCGCCACGTGCGGGTCTTTCCTTAGTTTCCTCCTCCATTCCTCCTTCGTCTGGTCCTCCAGAGATACCTGAAGCTTCTGGTGTAAGAGGGGGACGTATCTTTTCTTTCCTTCTCTTCCGTACACATTCTTTTGCGTCTTTCCCCTACGATAATGGTACACCTTGCTCTCCACCCTCATAGAGTAGTACTCCGATATGCAACGGGCAGCTCAATCTGGCTAGGAACGCCTAGGACAGCTACGAAATCCCAAAGGATGCTGATCCGCGAATATCAGAGGCATCTATTCCAGCATGGTCAGGGTAACATCCACAGAGACCTCTCATGATGAGGTTGCACGTTACACTTGCCCACCAACAAGCTCCGACTGCTGTGATTCATTCCCATGATCCAGACTCGCATTCTAGATCTGCGCTTTATTGTCATGTCTGTTCACTCACTCCGAGTCACCCTTTCAGTCATTGCACAGCATCGCAGCCTCGGGATCAATTCGTTCGCCTCATGGATGCATCATCACCACATCGTTCACCCAGAGCTATTGCTCCGCTGACGTAGCCGAGCAGGAGGGATCATCAAGCTTGTGGACGATGAATGGGCTCCAGACTCAGATGACTGTCCGATTCAGACCGACTATTGACAAAAGTCCGCGAACCTTGTCTTCCCATGCGCATGACTGCGGCGTGCAGTCAAATATTGGCAACATCATGTTCACAGAGTACGGCTCGTCATCCAAGACTGACCAAGAACCATCCAAGAACTCCAGGCCCTGACGCCGAGGTCTCCAATTCGTCGCTTGACAGCTTATTTCCCACGGCAGCGGCGCAGAGGCTGATCTTCAATGCGGTGGAGCGCCATGGAAGATTCTTTACCAAGTATCCGTACCTTCCTTCTCCTGAGAGTCGACTGGCGAGACGGGGAACCAGGGCTCGCTTTGTTTCGAGGAGCTCAACAAGATTACCTCGACATGCAGAACACCAGAGACATGCCAGCAAAGGCACCAGAGCCATCAGTGCCACCCTGGTCCCGGGGGGTGGCTGACGACCCAAGCTGACAGCGGGGATGGAGGGGCATTTTACGCATTCCCACTGCCGGGGACCACCTCGCACCACGAGCTGGCCCGCAACCTGCAGGTGGGAGCCGATGTCGAACCTGGAGCTTTGGATGACAACAGTCATGATGGTTTTTGGCATCAGAACAACCTCTTTTCTTCTCTTTGCGACAACAAAGCTCTCGTCTTTCGAATCAGCATGCTCGACGTGGCAGGGTCGCAGTACTGGCGGCCAAGTGACCCTGTGCAGAACAAGAGCAATGCTACGATGAGGAAAGATCACGAATCAGCCTCAATGGAGCCGTGACCGTGCTCAATGTTCTGGCGATCACTTTGGTTTCGGCATTCGAACATGAGAAGTCACACCGACATTCAAGGCGGCCCGGAGTCTGCGGCCCAAAGATGCGTCTGTTGGATGGATTGAAGCCAACCAACTATCATCCTTCAAGCAAAAAAGTGCTGCCTAACTTAGGTTCTCACCGTAGGCAGCGATGACAAGACGGTGATACCGCGGTTGTTGATACTGTTCTCGTCATCTGCCCAAAGTTCTTTGGGTGAGGGATTTCGCGGGCACGAATTCGATAATCAGAAGAATGATCTTTGGTCAGAGACAGCATATGCATTACGCCCCATCAGCCTTGCTCAGCGCAGCCCGACGATCATTCACTCATTCTGGAGAACCTAAGAGCTACCAGGTATAGGCACAGCATCGCTCCAAAGTCCCTTCAAGATAGCTGCGTGCAGATGGGCAGCCCTACCGACCGTCATATTGGGCGTACAGACTACAGCTTCTTCCCAGCCCGGCGATCTTTTGCCAGCGAAGGCCTAGTACGCCCGCTTCTTCTGCCGCCCAACCTTGAATTTGATGCATACCGAGCACCAGCTCGCCGTTGCACGGCATACAATTAGCCTTGGCCGCGGCACTTACGTCGCGAAATCCTACGATTTGCCTAGCGCAGCCTGCCGTCTGCACTTACATGCAGATTTGGGGGCGGGGCCGGGTGGGCAGTGTTAGTGTCGGCTATATGGGGACTTTGGCAATTGTGTGGCCGGGTTACGCCCAGCCAAGACAAAAACCTAACAGCTACCTCACGCAGCACGCTGTTCAGAGCATCAGATTCAGCTATTGGAAAAGATTCGGCAAAGGCGGCGTTTGACGGAACTCTTTGGTTCCGCAGGTTTCTGCATTTCTCGGAGTATCATCCCTTTCACGGACTACGAGTCGGTTATCGGAATGCGACGTTTCCCAGGCCCTCTACGGAAGCTCATCCGGCCGAGAAACTAATTACCATGCCCAGATATTGGTGCGACTTGAACACGAGCGCAACCCTCTGAGGCCGGTCTAACGTAGCTCTCCCGCGATTCAAGAAACGCCGCGAGTTCCAAACCGCCCTTGGAGCACGAACCCGACTACTTGGCTTGGTTTGAGACTTTGTCCTCCTCCTTTTACATTGGGTAAACATTGATCTTCTCATTCATGCACACGCATCACCACTTGGCATAAGGTATTTCAACCACACTCATTTCAAAGATACACTGAACAGCCAGTGTCAAAAAGGTAGAGAGAAATATCATTGAGCAAGGTTCAACAGCTTTAACCCTGATTTTTGGGTCGCACATAGCACGCGAGAGTACCCCGTACTCCGTACGTCAATCGACAAAACTCCATCTCTTCGTACAGAATTTCCACTTCTATGCGACGCCCACGGTATGAACCAAATCGCAGGCCCAAACACGCCCCTGCCTCCTACTCCTGGGCCTGGGAAAGTAAACCACCACCACCATTTTAACAATCTCTAGTTTCTACTCACCTTGGGGGGTTCTTACGCGTACTCGTGGCTGCTTGCGGTCCGGGCCTTATCGCAAAACACGACGCTCCCACCTTTTTCTTGACAGTCAACAGTGTCTTGAAACGAACCGTTTTACATCCGACCGCGCGGCGGGGCCAAACGCCAAACCTGCGTTCCATTCTTTTTTGTCGTCCCTTCTCCGAATCAGACTCAGCCTCTTTTTTTGAACTCTTGCTCTTGCTTGCGTTCGTTCAATGATTCTTAACTGGTCTGGTCAGGACCCGGCTCTTCGGCACAGAGTCAAAGCTTCCATTTTATACTTTTCGTCCTCCAAAACCGGACAGGAAAGGAATGGAGGAGGGGGGGGGGGGGGAATACCCAAAAAAGAGAGAGACGGTTGTCTGATGATTAAATGTTAAACTTTATTGATATCGTTGATCTCGCCTCGCTTATTGCATCTACTGAAATGCCCATCCCGTATTCAAACCTCAAGCGATGAAATTTACTTGATCTCCAATCGCAGCGCATCATATTGGACGTAAATAGCAGGCGTAAGCACGGCGCTCTCGTAATTCGTCGCGCCGTACGGCAAGCTCAGGACAATCTCGTTCTCGCCCGCCTTCAACAGCTTCGAGTCAAAGACAAACTTGTTGGCGACGTTGTAACACACCACCGCCGACCGCACCGCGCACGAGCTGCTCTGGTAATACGGAATCACCCACGGCTCCAGGTCTTTCCCGTTGACGTTGACGGTGTACTTCAGGTTGGCGTGCGGCTCGCTCGCGTTGTACACGTCCGTGTTGCCCGCCGCCGTCTTGGCGCCCGCGAGCTGCACCGTGAAGGTGCCGTAGCGCTTCTGCTTCACGGCCGCCTCGTCGAGGTCGAAGACGAGGGTCCAGTTGTTGACGTTGCCGTCGCCGAGGTAGAGGTCCGGGCGGAGGGAGTTCCCTTTGCCGCCGAACGCCGCCCAGTGCACGTAGTTGAGGTCCTGCGCGACGTCGTCCTCGCCGACGCGGAAGCGGATGCCGTCCGGGAACTCGGTGGGGAAGTCGTAGCGCGCCCAGTAGATGCGGTATTCCTCCGGCGTGCGGGGTTTCGTGGTGTCGCGCGCGAAGCCGTGGCGGTATTCGCCCGAGGACTTGTCTGGCGTGCCGATGCGGAAGATTTCCGTGCCGGATGTCTCCTCGCGCCAGCGCGCGTGGGTGGTGTCGATTTTGCCGGCGACGATTTTCACGTCGTCCTTGATGTATTGGCCAAAGATGCCGTCGCCGTAGATTGTGAGGCGGTAGGTCCCCTCTTTTACGCGCGGGATCGTGGCGTAGCCTTGGGCGTCGATGTCGGTCCAGTATTGGTAGGCTTTTGTGTCGAAGACGTTGTCCTGGAAGTCGACGCCGTTCTGCGCCAGCACGGCGATGGGTTTCGTCACGCCCTCGGGGAGATCGACGTGCAGCTTCCAGGTGGTGCGCTGCGTGGAGGGGACGTAGTTGGGTACGAGGTGGGCAATGTCGTCGTAAAAGTCCGCGTTCCACGTCGGGTCGGCGAGCTTGGCGGCGTCGGCGTGGAGGTCGAGGATGGAGGTGCCCGCGGGGCCCTTGTTGAAGTGGTAGTACTGCGGGCCAAAGGTGCGGTCGAAGCCGTTTGTGATATTGGGCGTCTGGTCGCCGTGGTGGTTGGACGAGATGTAGTTGTAGACGATGCCGTCGACCGTCAGGTCCGAGTGCAGGGGGCCGCCGAAGTAAGTGTCGCGGGTGTTGAAGACCATCCAGGCGCCGAACGCGGAGCCGTCGGCCGTCTTGGAGCCGTCGGCGAACATGCCGTAGGCGTCGACGTCGCGCCAGGTGTCTTGAAAGGTGTATTTCGTGAACCAGTCGGCTTCCTCCTGGACGTAGGGGTCTTG